ATCTAGTGTACCCAGTACCCAGTTATCCCCTTCACCTATCTAGTGTACAACCCGGTTCTACTCGGGCCCTTTCTCCCCCCTCCTAACATACTACACTGTACCTGCCTCCTCCGTCTCTACCTGTTGTTCCGTCATGTGCACGTTCCAGGCCCCTGTAACGAGTCCCTTTATACGGTATCTCTCCCTATTTCCTCTCAACGTATCTTCTTCCATGCGCACTGGCTTCTTCCCTTCCTTCTCCTTCATTTCCTCCCATAGGGGTACTTCGCGCATCAGTTTAACCGGCTGCTCGGCCAGCGTCTTCAACGCTGCGCCGAATGGGCCGGTGGCTCCGGCAAATACTGCCAGAGCATTGGAAAAGAGCATCGGGGGATATCCCCGACGCCCCAGCTCGATATTGACGGATAGTGCCGCTTGGACTCATGTCTCCGGGTCACTAGCGTGTTGCTTGATCCTGTGGAGCGCTGCTATCACCGTGCCCACCTTGGCCCGGGCAGCGCTGCTGCTCGGATCCCCAAAAAATCCCAGGAGTTGGTACCATCGTCCGTTCTCACCAGCACTAGCTGCTCCCCATACGCCTTCACAAATTTTTGACAAATGTATCTCGCTGTTGATACACTTCGATGGTCACTCATGTCACAGGCAATCTCAACGTGACATCATCAACCAGTCTGACCCCATGTACCAGTCTCTGGTCAGCTCCCAGGGAGTTTATGAAGTCTACCTCATGCTTTGCACACAGCACACAGGCCAACGAAGGGCTAGAGTTCTTTCCCATGGGGATACCCACCACTTGTTTGAGTATCACCTTTCTACACATAATGTACGTGTTCTCTAATTCATAGCCGACCATTTGCCGAATCTGAGAGAACTTGACCTTCACATAGCCTGGGCCCGGGCTCTTCTGGCTCAGGGTCATCACGCGTCCACGTCTACTCAGACTCAGTTTGAACACCCCTCTCAGCTCCCACCGCTGTAGAAGCCAATCGACGGCTCGCTGAATTGCCTCATGTGGCAGCGATGTGAACATCTCCTTGATGTCGTAGCTCGCCATCAGGGCCATCGTGTCATCTCCAAAAATATTAAGCCTCTTCCCCGCCATTTCCAAGTTCTGTTTTAGCATCGCCGTGGCTTTCAAATTGAAGTGCTTGGCTTTTGGGACCCTCTCAAGAAGGAAGTTCAATGCCCTTGCCAGTCTCCTCCCCGCTGTCTTTGACCCCTCGGTTGTCGCCGGTGCTATAGGCCTCCACCTCGTCAAGTCCTTATGTTTCGGTAGGACGTACGCCTGTCCCAGTCTAGCTGTTGGGTTCCAGGCTCCGATCTTGTCAAGGGCTTGCTTCTTGAACTCCGTCCTCACTTGAGTCATTACCTCTTTCTCAGACTTCTCCGATACTTGCTGGTAGGCGACATTGAGATTGAACATCATCATGAGGCTATGGTGGTACGTCCACGGGCACATAACCACAAGATCTCCCGGGTTCCTGTCTACCGGGACCACAACCAAGTGGCTCAACCTTGCTGCTATCTCTCTCGCCTGCCCCTCAGATCCCGCCGGTCTAGTTTCTGCCCGGTCCGATGCTATCTCCTGAAACATACTTGGGTCCGCTACTTGGAACAGATCCCTCCTCATGACTACCCCCAGGGACCTATTGACAGCTTGCTGCACTTCCGTGGGTCGTGTACCAGCACCGCTTTGCAAGACATTCTTCCCGTTGTGCAGAAAGTCGGGGGTCATCGAACATTGCGTGACACGTGCTAACACATGACCATCCACCCTTGGCAGCTGATCCTTGCTACAAGTACATCCCGCTGATGCCTCCCTCGCCGACTTCCGATGGTTGGTTAAGACCTGTTTGACCGTGCTGTTCTTCTTCCACACCACTCTCACCCTGTGACGCAGCACCATTTTTAGTACCGGATGAACTCTGCTCTTCTCCATGCATAGTACCACCGTGTCGTGGATCCTCGTCTTCCTCAGCTGATGGCTAAACTTCACACCCACATTGACCTTCAGTCTAATATTCACCCCTGTCTTCTTTCTGATCACTGCAGCTATCTTCTCCTTCAAAGTCCTCCGCGTGGTCTTAGTCTTGAATTCCCTGGCGCACCTGTACAAGAAGACTAGCTTGGTGACGTCGAAGAACTTCAGTTCCGCCTGCTTCCTCGGGATCTCCAGCAACAGCCTCAGATACCCTTTCCCTCTACTCCTTGCACTATCCCTCTTAACTATCGGTGCCACTCTGAAATTGCCCCCTCGTTCTAGGAGTTGCTTAGCCCTCACTAGTGGTATCTTCATCTCTTCACCAACAACGGTCGACGTCCCGAACTTCCTTCGGATGATGGACCACTTTTCTCCCCACACCTCCCCACCGGATGATACTATCTCCACCTCCTTCGTCCCTGCCGCGAACGCATCCTCCAGGAGCTCTGCTAAGCTGCAATACCGCTTTCCTTGCCTCACGAGTGTGAAGCACAAGAGCACTCTCCGATGCTTCGGCACGGGCGCTCTCGCCTTCTGCCTTTCCTTTTTACCCAGCCTAGACTTCTATTTCGTCCCTGCACCGCGGCCAACCACATTCAGCGCTGGCGAAAATTTGCAGGTAAGGGCCTTCTCTAGTACCTGCAGACTTTCTCCCATCCCCCCTGCTATCAGGAGGACAAGGTATTTCTTCCATCTGAAGACCTTGAAGAAGGAATATAGCTTGGGGGCACGCCCGTAGTTACCAGTCTCCGTACAACGAATATGTTCCCACCACCTCTTGCCTGCCCCTCGTACTGTCTGCCTGATGTACATCCTCTTGCACCACAGTGACAACAAGCAATATACCACCGGGCCCTTAAGATAAAAAAAGTCATGTCCTGCAGGGGCCACCGTGAGCATATTCCTGGCCCACGGGGCCACTCCACTTAACACCAGCAAGAGGAACACAGCAATGATCACTTTGCGCAATACTCATCCTGAAATTCGCAAACCCGAAATTCCCCCAGACGTTATCTCGGAGCTCCAGGTACAACAACAGTTTGTCCCAGAGGTAACGTGCTGGAGGGGCGCACCGTCAATCTGCGTGCGGGCCAGTATCTGCCCCCAAACTTTTGTCTTCCTTCTTGCTTTCGTCGCTATCTGCTCCAGTCAACCAGCCATCGTACGCCTCTCTCATTTCCGCTGCTACTAAGTCCTTGATCGCCTGCCCTTTTGATACCCACCTGATATTCTTCATCTTGCACAATTGCTTGAGTTTCGGTGCTTGCTTTGCTTGCATACTCTCACGCAACTCAAGGACGAAGTCAATCACCCCTTGCTTAGAACATGAAGCCACTGCCCCTTTCCTCCTCACTTCCGCGCTGGCTGGCTCTTTCCCTTTCCTTGTGACTGCAGTCCTCCTCCTAGTGGTGGGCATACCCTAACTCCTCCCCACGACATTAACTTCTCGTTCACTCTCGTCCAGGTCAAGCCTTCTCATCGGGTTTGGGTACGGTTCACCATTGGGCCTCTTCTGTACTTCACCCTCAGTACGTTCTAGGAACCGCAGCAGGCTATCATGCAGCCTCACACTCTTCTCCTTCGACGCTGTGAGTGTCGTGTGCACATGGTCTTTAATTTTCTCCTCTAACGCCGCCATCTGTTTGGCAAATGCTTGCGCTGCGGTTGCTTCCATAATTGCTTGCGCCCTCCGCTTCTCTGCTTCCTCTCTTTGTTTAGCTTCCTCCAACCTCTGCTTTTCTTCTTCTAACCGCTTCCTTTCCTGCTCAGCCTTCTTCTTCTCCGCTGCCTCCAGCTGCTGATTCTCTACAAACGAGAGCAGCCTGTTCAACCGATCCTCTTCATTATTCCTCCTTGGTTGGCCATAGGCACTCTGTACAACGTTTCCTGATCCGTAACTCCCCCGTCCTTGGCTTTGCCAGCTTCTCCCGTTCTGCTTATGTGGGCAGTCCCGCGCGAAATGCCCGTACTCCCCAAAATTATAACATGGCCCTCCTGGTCCAGCAGGCTGGGAAGGGGGAGGGGGAGGTGGAGGGGGAGGATGTGGGGGTGGGGAGGGCCCTGGTGTGTGGGCAGCTCCCCCGTAACCAGCCGCGTACGAACCAGGTGTAGTCTGCGGGGGATACATAGAAACTGATCTAACAACTCCGCTGTTGAACTCTCCCACTAGATACTTGATACCACTATCCTCTTCTAGCTATCGACAGGTGCATAACACCTGCTATCGCTGTTCTTCTGGCCCCAAGTTTTCAATTGGTACGTTCAGGAACCCTCCACATCTGCCAAACAGCTCCTCCAGCTCGCTGCACGCAATGGGCGTCGTCGATCTTACCTCTCTATCCCTATGTGGTGGTGCTTTTGTAGCACATACTCTTGGCTCACTATCACAACTCACTTCCTTCACCAGTCATCGACCACCTACTACTTCTCCTCGCACTGATCTGGCCAGCTTACTGTACTCGTGTACTGCAGGTACTGTATACTCCCTCACCTAACCAGCTTCCCACCATCGTGTTTGGTAAGTAACGTCACAGCTACGTTCGGTATTCCACAAGTCGAATGCTCCATATTGCAACCGCCTTCACTCTTCGTTCCCGATTGTGACGTGTTCAGTAGCACATTTGCAGATTCGCAACCCCACCTGCCTATCTTCTACCAGCTTGACCCGCCAACTACTCTTCCTTGTGCTGATCTGGTCCGTGCACTCAAGATCGAGGCGTACTACAGGCTCCTTGAGTTCACTCAGCCTACCTGCTCCCCTCTTCCTACCTCCGTGTTTGGTTCACTTCAGCTCAACTCCCTTCTGCGATCACCTGGTTCAGGCCCATACGTCGAGGCCGGCTGACTCGTTCATCCTCTGCGCCACCTCTCCGTCCTCAAGGTCGGTTAGCTCATCCTACTCACGTTAACCACGAACCATCTTCGCTACTACATCTGCATGGTATAAGCTTCCCTTAACTGCCTATCCTTTCAGCGACCACGTTCATAGATCTGGTTCTACCCTCACTCAACCGGTCATGCGCTCCTATGAGCGAGACGATCGTACCCACGCTCCGCCAACCCGGGCTGCAGGATCACCCATACGCTACTTAACTCTCGTCTCACCTTACTAGCTTTAATTAGCAGCTAGGCAAACACAGTACTGCAATCATCCAATCGATCTCTCTTTGAATGACGGCATGTCCACGGGCTAGCTCCCGCAGTAGCGCCTATCTCGTTGCGTGGCGCTACTATATCTGTTATGCCACTTGTCACATCTGCCACTTTCCACCTTCGAGGGTCGCTTCTAAGATCTCCCAGCACAACGGCGTCCCAACGTATTTAAACGTATCTTCACAATGCAGTCGCTCAATCGCTCAGCAACGACCACTTTACACACGTTTTTCTCAACAATCAGCCAACCACTCTTCACGTACCAAGCCAGCCTTCCCCACTCGTTACCACACTGCACACTCGTTATCGCACCCTTCACGTTCTCGCCAAGCCAACTCCAAAAACTGCCTCTCACACATCCCCTTTACTCAGTTGCCACGTCATCAGTATACTCTTTAACCGCCCCCGTAATTCAGGCTCATCTACCCTTCAGACTACCATCACCTCGGCCCTCGACATGTTGCGACGATCATTTGTCCACTTGTTCACTACACGATCATCCGCAGCAGTGCATGCATGTGGCTACATTTGCAGATAGGTGAGTCCAAGACCCTACCGCGGATTCTGATACGCGTGCATGTCCAAGACAACAGTCGTGCAAGGGGACTGTGTGAAGGGCAAAGGCGGAACGATCGATACGTCACTATGCGTGTTTGTGATCGCTTTCCCGGAGAGGTCAAATCCGCCAAGGTATCGTACCTGGTGTTCGTGCAGCACTACCCGACAAGCATTCGTCCCAATCTGCAGCTAGGCGGAGTACTGTATGCCCTTTTGCTCTGTGACGCTGATCCTCACGTAACCACAACAGAAACGGAAAGCCACTCCTTTCCCAGCTTCACAACAGCATAACTTGGCCACTTCCTCTTCTTCTTCTCTTTAGCTACCTTGCTCTACGGACTGATCAGCACTTCGGACATCAGTCACCACAGCTCTCGCCCCACCTCGGAGGTCGAAAACTCGTCGTCCATTCCTCGCAAAAATTTCCATTGGCCACACCTCCCTCATCTCAACCGCCTCGCATGACAGGCTGCTCGACCACTCGGACGTTCATCACCTCAACTTATCTGTTCGCCGTGTTCCTCCGTCGTCCACTCGCCCTTCAACCGCTCAACACTTCAGTCCGTGATTATACCGAACCACCCCCCTTTCTCACGTTCTCATACCGCGTACACTCGACAACCTGGTTTATAAGCTTCTCATCGAGTCATCTCTTAGTCTTTCCACTTCCCCAACTCTCTCACCAATGGTCACCGCTCCAGCTAGTTCTCAACTTACAGGCTCATCACCACTCCGCACTCTCGCCACCGCTACTTTTTCAAAAAACTACGCCGCTACCATTTTAAAACTACCCCCCTTCGACCACCTCTCTCCTCGCCACTTCCTGCTCCTCTTCCTCCTCCTTTACCTGCGTTCCCTCTCTCCTTACTCCCTACTCTATCACCATTTCTTCCTTTCCCTCCTTAACCCTCACTCCTTTCACCGATTCCTTCACCTTGTCACACTTTCACTCTCATCTCCAACACTCTTCACTCATGAACCATTGTGTCGCTTCGCTCGTGCATCTGTTGTAGGCGTAACCACCAAAAACGAGTACGACCTCTCGTCTGGTTGTTGCGCATTCAAGAACTGAAATAGCGAGGCCAATCGCTATGCGTCCATGTCTCGATGATGTCAATGAAGCACCTACACGGACTGTCTGCTCAACGCGCACATTCCCCGACGCGTTTCGCCTGGCTGCGCACCAGGACTTATCAAGGCGCAACCGCACTCCCGCATCCACTGAAGCAACCCGCCCTCAGCAAAGAGGACCTTCCTGGCCTTGCCCTTCTGAGAAATACTGGAGCACTCCTGTAACTGACTGGTCGGGTCGCGAACTGGCTCGCTTGCAACTGACTCGGCGTGCACATATGCACGTCCCTTCTTCCCGCCTACCTCACGTGTGCGCCCTGTGTGCACAAAATTCTCGTACTGCACGTGCACCGGTCGGCGGTAGGGACTTACGTT